CCAGACTCAATGCCCCAGCTGCAGCTTAGCCCAGAATTTCATGGCAAACGTTCACTAGGTCAAAAGCAAGACTTCTGTTGAGTTAGAAGAGGCTTTCTTATGTTCCTCTTCCCTATGAAGGCCATAAGAGCATGAATTTTAACCTCTGTCCTTACATTATGCAGAAATGTATTAAATATATACGTGGGCATATGCACTAGAGAAATAAGTCCACAGTTCCTGCCTTAGCTAGCATGGTTTGTAAGCATACAGGTGAATAAAATCCTGTGTAATGACTTTTATTCTTTCGTCCTTCATGACATACTTCCCCCCGTCTTGAACATTCAAATCACAATTTCTTCAATTTAACTATTGTGGTAAGAAAAGGAAGCATAAGGGAGTAACGTGAATGTGAAGAAAATACACAGCAAAATCGGCGCTGGCTATTGCCCTTCTCACGTATTTCTCACCAGCGTTATCAGATGAGTCACAGAGGTTTTCGCAGAGAATCTTGTTTGCTCACAGAGATCTACAAATTTGAGTGCTCAGGGGCTTTTGTACTAACGCAGAATTCAAAAGTTCTTGTCACAGTAAACAATCTTATTTGAAAAGTAATACTTTAGAGATAGATTTAATTTCTACTTCAAAAATCTGGTGGATGATGTTAATAAGAGAGTAGGAATTACAAGCTAAGGTGTCAAGACCCTATTAATTAAATATTTGCATGCGCTTACATATCATTTAAATGACTCTGCCATTTATTTAATCTTAGAATTCAGAGTGAAAGAGTAGAGTCACCACTGTTTAGATATGGCTACATTCACTGAGTTCATGCCTTAAGCCTCTGCTTAATCTGTTTTACAACTCAAAATAATTGCAAACACGGCAATACCTACTACTATATACCTAGGTTCTCTTCTCTTTTAAAGCACAGTTAAACACACGAAGAGTGTGCAAATGCGTTTTGCAGCATTTCTGATTTGTTTTCAATGGCCAGCGGTACTGAGAATTTGTTCAAGGATCAATGTCCATTTTATATAAATACAATTCAAGTTGTGAATATGATTCCCCAAAGCCCCGTATTCAATTCTCCTAATCCATCTTAGTGCTATTGAAATGAATGGAAATTTTGATATTGATTTCACTGGGAACAGGAGCAGCTCCTTTGTGCACTAGTGCATTTCAGGCCATTTTCTTGTCTGACTTTTTCAGGTCTAAATCCAGAGAAACCCTCCTGACACAATTCCATTTTCCAGCAGGAACATACATTATCTTCTAAGACCCCAACCTTCACCCTTAATTACACATTCGTGAAACTATTTCTTTTTCTTTAATATCATCTGAGTCCCATCCTGTTTTCCCAAACTTAATTAAAACCATTTGAAAATATTCCCCAATGTAATCGGAGGAGTGGCTGCAGCAGCCTTCACTGGTTAGTCTGAGAGCTTTGCCAAGACAGCCAGCCAAAGGGCGACCAATCTACCTGTTCGCTAATACACGTTTCTCCACCTTAACCCTTGAATTAAGAGCGGCATCTACTCAGGAAAAATAGATACTACCCATCTCCCGTTTGGGAATCAAATTTAAGACTGTTTTCAAATACAAATATTAATAGGTAAAAAGAAAAGCATTACACAGTGTCTTCCGTTGACGGCTGGGAGCCATCAGATGTGCTGACTACGAAGAGATCCTGTAAACGAATGAGGACGTGACACCTGACTTTTGGAAGTTTGTAAAGGCAAGCACCAAATACAATACCAACTACCTTCAAATAATTGCTATTCTGAACTGTTTCAGCATCACTGGAAAGGTATGTTTAAACATACATTTGCAAAAATGTACACACATGTGCATCGAAGGATGTCGGTGTGTATATATATACACATACATGTGATGTGCGTGGCAGGGTTTATATAGATACATTAGTATTATATCTTCAGTAACACTCCTAATCTGTTATACATATAAAAGGTATTCATTTCACCTGTTGTTATTTGGGGAATTTGTCACCATGACCGCCTCCGAGACATTAATTAACTTCCACTTACTGCAAGATAAAACAGCTGTACTGTCTCCATTTCAGAGACACAGAGAAACTAAGACAAAGGCACTTGCCAGAGGCTGTGCCGCAGGCGCTTTGCGGCAGAAAGGTTAGCACCCCAAACAAACTCTCCTCTTTCCCACGCTCAGCTGTCCAACCCGCTCTGCCTTACTGCCAGAAAGGCCGAGTGACCGCGCTTCCCATTGATTTCGTCTGCAGCTGTGAGGGCTCAGCACTTCTGCACAGTAGGCCTGAAGGCTCCAGGAGATGAGAGAAACACGGACAGTAGCCCCAAGAAGGTGTTCTGGTGTAAGCGGCTTGGCTCAGCGTCATACACAGGCTGCAGCAGAAACAGGGGTAACGGAGAGAAAGTCTTCTCATTCACCTGCCTTAATCATAGCATGATCCTTCCTCTTCCAGCAACTCCACTTCATTCTCTCTCTCTCTTCCCTATGCACCTTTGGATTTCTATAAATGAACTGGAAATCCTGCTAAAACCTCTAGTCGTTTATATACATACATATATATGCATATATGTATATCCTTAAATCTCTCTACTGATGTGTGAAAGATCTGGCAAGAGAGTTAAGTGCAGCAGTTGAAGACTATATCATAATGAATATGCACGAAGAGGCTGAATTAAAAGGTTACACTGATGACTCTCGGTTCTGGCTTTTTCTAACTTTTCAGTGCTTGACTGCAACTGAGGCAGCGTTCACTTAACACATGAAATTTGACATAGAAAGGATGCTGGTTTTTTCTGTTTTGTCTTAAAGCGAGAACAAGGGAGAAGCGGAATTGCAGCAGTTCCCCGTTATCCATCACCAGCTGTGTACAAACCCCGCATAACCGGAGTAACGTCATCATTTGCCAAAGAGATGAGATTTTTGCCCTACCTGGGAAGCAGGCTACTGGGGTTATTTGCTGGTTTGAACACTGCAACAGGTGAGACAAGATTTCCCTGAGAAGTCCAGTCTAACCAACGCTCTTTCTTCCTGCTCCCTGAAGAGACTGCGTGCCTGCCAGCGCGAGATGCCATTACTCCCGGCGGCACCGTGTGCCCGCTTACACCGTTTAGGCACTGACAAACGGCCAGCGTTTGGCTACAAAATGAAGTACTAAAAGGGAAATTGCAAAACTTTATATCTCAGCCAGAACTGAACAGAGCTTCACAAAATAATCGTAACAAATACTCTCCTCTGGTTCCGGAGATTTCCCTTCCTGCCAAGTCCCACAGGAGTGTGGGAAACAGCACAGGTGCTTTGGCTTCTGAAATAACGTCGTCAGAGTCTCTTACAAGGGGAAACTCCAATAGTCTGAACTACAACCCCGACACCCAGCATCCCCGTTAGAGCCAGAAAATGAAACCGGGTAACAGTACACAGAACATCTTTCGCACAAGGTCAAACGTATTCACGAATCTTAACAAGTACAGAAGATAGGGCCCCTTTTCCAAAATGTGCTACTGCACGGAGGAAGGTTTTGAAAAGCTCCTCTCACAGGGCATGCGCTTTGCTCAACGCTTCTGATGCCTCTCAGAGGAAAAGAGCTGCTTTCCATCAGCGACCGCTAATTCCCTACTTCTCGGTAGGGCCTAGTGGAAGCTGTCAAAACTAGGTGCGCTTTTTAAGAAGTCAACACTAATAAGGTTTCTCATCTCACACATAGGAAATACTGAGCGTTCAGAGCTGAACCCCTTTGATCGGTATTGAAACTAATAGCAGCTGAAGATAGAAGCTAATAGCAGCTGAAGATAATTAGCAGCTTCCAGAACGCGTTCAGCAGTTTTTTAGGGCTTAGTTGTTAACACATCTACCAAGGACAACGAAACCAAATCAGTAACTAAATCGCAAAGTTAAAGCACAAATGCAGGATGACTGCAGTACCAACAACAAAAATACTGCAGCCTACACACTATTTCAAGTCAACAGGTGCTCAGTGCTGGGAACTCTTCTGTATCTGTCATACACACACACCTTTATATAGCTCTTTTAAGGTACTTCTGCAAATCAAATTTAACAATTTTGGAAAATATTACCCCTTGCTTACTTTATATTTTGAAATTTGTATTCAGTATCTTTAAACAATGCCTAGAGGCGTTCACAATCAACTCTTAGGTAATAGTCAATCAGTTATTAGATGATAATTTCCATCATTATCTCATCATCTACTGAGCTCTGCCAAAGCTTCTAGGAAGTCCGGAGAGACAGAGCTCTCTCTTTCACCCTCCAGATCTGACGATAACGATAAGGGGTTAACGTATTCCTATCTACCACACTCTGCAAGCTGGACCTCCTCCTCCCTAGCCACCAGAACTGGCCTTTCTGGCCATTTACTAGTGAACTGTGTGCCTCATTAGGTATTTCCATACTATCACCCTCAACTACTTTCAAGGTTGTTCTTGCGTTTCAGACTGGTTTTAAAGTATTTCAGGGTTATTTACAGGAAACGTAAATTCTTCTCATCCCTCTCTCTTTGAAACCTTCTTTGTGCATCCGTTTGGTGTTTGACCTTTGCAGTTCCCTGCATAAATTATACCTAGACTTGCTGGCTTGTTAAATGTTCCATACATTACTTTTGGCAAAACAGGCTGAACGCTATTTTGCCTTGACAGGCTGCCAGGGCATGTCTGGGATAGTTTATGCTTGCAGGGGCTGGGAAAGGCATGTTAGCTTCCACTCTCTGAGGCATACGAACTAACCCCTGAATTAAGCAGATGGGAACTGAGAAGTCCTAGGAGGAAACCCAGGCACAGCCATGGCTGAAAATTCGCCGTAAGCATTATCGTATTTCTCTCCGTTTCTTGGTTAGCAAAGCCAAAGTGCAGGAAAGGTGGACTTGACTATACCATAGGGTAGATTCGGGTTGGGGAAGACACCTGCATGTAGCTCTCTCTTGCCTCTAAGTGCAGCAAAACTTCTCTGCGCTGTGACGCGTGAACGATAATTAATGCAAATTTAAAAAGCATATATTCACTTACACAAGGAATGGGCTCCAATGTGTTCCTTCTAGTATTCCGAAGAGCGCAGCTGGACCTATACAAATAGGAAAAAAAGGGGTTATGCCATTATATTCCACTCCTAAATACTCAGAAATCTTGATCTGAGGTCCACCAATCACATTATTTGGAGATGATCAGCTGTCACCAGAACGCCCGTATTCTCAACTGAGGAAAGTAGGAGAGCTAAAACTTTACTGTCATTCAAGACTGAGAAGGTTTTATTTGTATTCTCTATTTTTTCACGTTTAGAATTACGGGGACCATTTATTGGCAACACGGGGTGATTAGTTTTAATACAGAATCTACTGCAAAACAACAGGTCTTCTCCCACACAGGCCTGAAGCAAGGTCCCTTGGAGATGCCTGGAAGAGACGCACCGTAGCATGCACGTTGGATACGCTTTTCTGCGTTTTAAGATTACGTTTAGGAGGAATTCTTCCTGTTCAAACACCTTTGGGAGCGCTCACTTGGATCCCACGTGGGGACTTTCAAACCTGCCAATACCTGTAGCAAAGCATTAGCAGCATCACTGGTCTTAAATGAGGCAGCAGACCAAAATCATCTCACTGGGGGTCCAGGGGAAGGTATTTCAGTCTCTGTAGCAGACTGTAACTCATGCCTCAAACACCACTGGACGTAGAAATACTTGGGTGGGGGACTCAGTGGCGTTAGGGCGTCAGTCCTCCCTCCTGTGCCACGAACTGTAAGAACCAGCCTGCCTTATCCATAGTAACTGGAAGGACCAGCCGGGTATGGTTGCCCTTTCGAACCTTTTCTAATGCATTTGTCAACATTTCACATTGCTTATTCACCTTTCCATTTTGTCTTTTTTAAATTCACCGTTCTGCCTCAAGGTCAGGGACAAAGCTGACTAACCTTTGCAGATTTTCCACTTCACTGCCGATCTGCATTTTGAGATTAATAAATACATCAAACAAGAGAATACATGCTCTTAAACTTTTCCATACTGAAAACTATCAAAAAAATATACCTTTACTTTTCATCTCCAGCACAGTTTCTGCCCCAAGAAAGTATTTTGTGCCTTGCACTGTCACCAGCTAGTTTCTCCAACACCCTTCTGCAGGCCTTTTGTTAAGGGCCACTTGAATGTTTAGGTTAATTAAGGCAGGTGTCGCTTCTACATCCACTACTTTACTGACATGGCTGGACACAAGTGGGACAGTTATTCCTCTGCTGAATCCATCCTGTCCAGACCCTTCATATGACTATTAGCTATTCTGCTCTGAGGTAACAGTTTATATGGCTTTCCAGGGCGAGGCATAAATCTTGCAGGTCTGTAACTCCCCAAATCAGTTATATAGCTTTTTAAAAAATGTGTATATTTACTCCCTTTCAATCACCTAGCAGAGCTGCTGTTGTTAATGGGCAACACCCCATCACCCTTTATTTTTTAAAAATCAGCCCATCTACTTTATACTGCAGCGCCTTCAAAGCACCTGGATGTGCATCATCTGGGCCTGTCAATTTACTGTATTTTAGAATGAGCAGTTCTCTCCAGTATCTCCTTATCTAGCACCTTAATTTCACTCTTACCACTAGTGCAGAGTGACAACCCAAACCGCTTAGCTGCTCAGCTATGTCATCTATTTTTTATTTTGCATTTCACATTCTTTTCACTGTGGTCCTGTAAGTATTTGCACCTCAAACTCCATTTTGAGTTCTTCTAACTCCTCCTCTTTGTCTGCTCTAAATCAAACACAATATACCAATGCTGAACAATCTGGAAGGATTCCTTTATGCATCTTGCAAACTGTACTACTTTTTATACATCCCAGTATGATTTCTTTCTGGGCATCAGCATGACATTGTCCACTCATGTTCAACTTATCATCGACTGTTGTCCTCAACTCCTTTTCTACAGACTTGCTGTTTGGCCAGTTGTTCCTCATCCTCTTTGCGTACAGTTAGTTATTCCTGCTTGAGTGTTACATCATGCCCTGTTCCCTGATGAATTTCATCCCGTTCTTCATTAAACTACTCAATACAGTAATTTTTTATCCTAGTCTTGTCTTCTAACATACTTACACAGTCCCTCCTAGCAGATAAATATAATAAGCACGCTGCTTATGACATGGTCCAGGTCTGGAATGAAAACACTGAACAGAGGTGAGTCCTGCACAAAGCTCTGCAGATCCCGTTCTTCTTTGCTAGTGAACTGGGGTAACTACTCTCTAGTACAGTTCTCTAACGAGGTTTGTACCTATCTGATGGCAGTTTCACTTAGAGCACATTTCCCCATGAGACAGGAAAGAACATCTACTACAGTTGCACTATCCACAAGAAACGTTTCCCTGTTGCAGCAAAAAATTAGATCAGTTAGATGTCTTTTTTTTTTTTTCCCCCCTCATGACAAATCCCTTCTGGATGTTATAATTACCTCTGTTGGATTCTAGGAGCTTACGAGGATGCATGAATTGCTCCAGAGTTTTTCCAGGAATTGAAATAAAGCTTGATAATCTTGAAAAAAAACTGAGATACAGACTTTGCAAAAGGAAAGCTAGAACCATGAGACCTTAGACTAGATATGTTTTGTGGCCCCACTCCCTCATTCCTAAGAGAATATACACTAAGAGCTATGCTACAGTGGCTTGACAGTTACGCCAAAGGTGAAGCGTTTGCAGATTTGGTAATAACTTCCTCCTGGCTTAAGCAAACGCAATCTTATTGCTGCTCTGCAGAAAACGCCAGGCAGTTCCAATAGAGTGAGTCGTTAGACATGGCCATTCTGGCACGCATGGGAACTTGTTAAGGGTGATAGGCTTCCATCTCCTCCCAGAATCAAAATATTTGAATTATTCAAAAGCATACCTAAGAGTGGACAAGACTGCTCTTCTGGGCTGTTGAAGGAAGCCCGAAAAAGGCACATTAAAAATAAAACATGGCCACAGTTCAACTTGCTAAAGGACACAGTACAATCTCTGTTACTTGGTATTTGATATCTCGGTATTAAGCTATACAGGAAATCACATCGGCTTATGATCTTTATGTATCTGTAGGGTAGGTCTGGACCACATTCACGCATCTACACAAAAGGGTTGATTCTCTACTGCCAGTCCCATATGAAGTCACTTATGCTCAGCGCCAAGTGAGTTATGAAATAGCTAGTAAAATTGTACCGTATCAGGATAGTAGCAATCTGCATTCCCACCGTACTTAGGGACGTTTTTGCACAAGGTGCAAGGCCTTGCGCTGGAGAAACCTAGAAGAATATCTGATCCTCCGTCTGCCCTACAAGGATTGTAATTTTTTGAAACCTCTGTTTCATTCAAACTGCCCAGCAATTTGGAAGAGGAAAGCCCTATGCCCTACAGCTCCCCGTGGTGGAGTGCACAGCTGGAGCAGTCTAGCTCCAGCAGGCACACGGACCTGAAAGCCAAAGGAAGGAGAAAGCCTAGCCGGGAATAAAGTTACGTTTTCACTTTAGTGGAGTGGTCTGGTCTAACAGAGGGGCCAAAGTCAGATAGATGGTTTTCACAGACCAAAAACACGTTGCATGGCTATCGGTGGTATAACAGATACCGTACAAATTCTTTTAGACGGATGACTGGGTATTCCACTAAAGTGGAAACAGCTTCCAAAAATACTCGATTGAATGCTTTCTCACCCCTGGTGTTTCAGTGGTTGTAAACGTCACACAATAGTTTCCACCTAGCAGTTCAGGCCAGGAAGTGGAGCCTCCCTTATCCACCTCAGTTGCTCAGAAGCAACTGAGGAGCTAGAATGCAACTACGCAAAATGGAATTCAGCCAGGACCCTGAAGTTAATAACCTTTACTCTGACAAAAGTGCAATATTTAATGGCCAAAGAGGTTGTTGTAGCTCCTCTGGTGGCTTCGTCACATTAGCCTGAGGGAGCGGAGCTACCTTCCGTATTTAGCATGTCACTCAATCACGGTAGCTCTGCCCTATTCCAGAGATTTTTTAATAGCGCTCACTTACTGTCTTCCTCCGTAACTGCCATTACTCTGCTACTAAATGCTGAGCACCCTTGATACAAACCTTTGAAACAAAACACCATGGCATTTTCCCTTTACAGATTAATTGCCGGATTAATCCTAATCTTTGTTTACATCAGCATAAATCCATGATAAGTCTCACTGAAGTTACTCTTGATTTACATGGGCACAACAGAAAAGATCACAACCAAAAATCTAAACAGGTAACTTGTTTTTCTCAATAAGGACGGACAGAGAGAGGATTTCAGGTGGATAAAAACAAATAATGAATTCACTTTCGCAACTATTTTTTGCAATCTCTAAGAATCTTTGTCACTATCATTCACAACAGATGACAATCCTGAAGAGGACTCACCTAAAGAGTCTTCTAAAAGTAACGGTTTCTTTGTCCCTAGAGCCCACTAGGCTAGTGCACGTTACTTATTTCTGTTACTTATATATTAGCCACCTGAGAAGAAAGATTTTCAATGGTATCTGATTGACCTTTAAAAACTTACATTACTTATTGATGGATTACAAGTTGGAGGTCAAGAATTGGCTAAATCACGACTGACTGAAGCATGCAGCGTCTGACCAATGCAGGAAGGCATTTGAAGAAGCTCAGTCGGAATAATCAGCTCATCCTGTCTCAGGTAAGTCGAGACTTGCACAAATTGTTAGGAAATGGCTGTTTCTCCGCAGTAGGACTGAGTATGAAATACTCGTCTCAGTCTAGGAATGAACAAGAGACAAGGTAACAGCGCATGCAAGTGTAAGCGAAACTTAAACAGAAATCTGAGGTTAAGACAAAAACATTACTGTTAACTGCATTTGTTTTACAGCCACATCACATGGAAGATCACCCACTGTTCAGCGTGGATAGAAAAATACTTACACACACCATGCGGCAATCTGTCTTTGCATTATAGTGCCTGAGAGCCTTCTCAAAATGCAACGCAGGTTGTTCTCTCTCTCAGAAAAAAGGCTGACTCTTTTCTTGGCGCGAGACACCACACATCTCCCGGACCCTGCTAACAGTACACAGACGTGGAGGAGAACACGCAGGTGTAGGCACTATAGCAGCTCTGCTTCTCCACTGAACGTTTGTTCTCCTTCACTGTCCTTGAACTTTCATGCCTTGATCCTCACTGTTTTAGTCTGCGTTGTCAGCTCACCTGAGAAAAGGGAAAAGCAGCTATATGGTCTCTGAACACTTACTTCATTCACATTAGCAAAAAGGTATCCATTCTTAGCTCTGCCTCTTCACTAACCTTTTCGGGACAAATCAAATAAATTTGGCAGTAGTAGTTAACTCTATTTAAAAAGTAAAACAAGATGCTCGTTTCAAGAGAGGGCAAGGGGAGTTTTCAGTTAAAACACAAGGCTTGAGTTCAAGGTGTTTGGTATTACAGACTTTAGGGACTTCAGGTTCTGCTATCGCACGTACCCAGAACTGCCTCTACCTCAACAGGGCTAAGCAGTTCAGTGTCCCGTGAAAGTCCAACTGCTCTATTCGAACGAGGCATTTCCACGCTTAGACTTCCTGCGAGCCGTATTCTGAACCTACTCCCAAGGCTCAAAGCTGACAAGACCGAGTTTGCATGCCTAGGTGGTGACGCTATCCTCTTTTTTACGAAACAGGCTACCACGTGCTCAAAGAGCCTGCGGGAGACCATCGCTCTCTGCCCACCTTCTTCTGAAAGGGTCCAAAAGAGTGCCCGAAATAGAGGCTACACAGCTGTCCTGGGAGACAGGAACATCTTCCAGCTCTTCAGGTTCAAGTCATGCAAATTGACATGACGACAGGAAAAGATGAACCTTAGGAAAAAAGAAAAGAAGAGGAATTTA